CTCAGAGGCATCCTGTCTTGAAGGTTTTCCTCCAGCACATTGAAATAATACGGGGGGTTAGTGGTATTTCAGAAATACAGCCTCTAAGCAAATTCTGCTGATTTCTGTCTTTGTTGCATAGGATTATATTACACTAGAAATGCTCAACATAAGATATATTGTGGGCGACAGAGTTTGAGTCTGAAGTCTTGTGTTTTTAAAAAATCTTTCAGCTTTACTGTGAGCTCCTGCAGCACACGCTCGCTCTGTTGGGCCTCTCCTAGCTGAAAAAGGAGCAATTAAGAAATTATTAGTACAGCGGCGTCTGTAATTTGTGGGCAATTCTGTCTATTAACAGAGAGGTCTCCAAAGAAACCATTCGTTTTGACTCTATCAAATCTTAATAGTTCCATTTTTGTGACAAACAAGCGAAAAATGCTCTTCCAATTGCACTGTGAAAATCAAAGTTCTCCGCAGATGAGGCAGGAGGGTTTGGTACCGCAGGCGTGGGGATTTTCAAAGCCGCCTGTTAAAAGCTTTACACATCAGGACGCTGCGAGATCTCTGATACTCGCTCAGCAGAGCGAGGGTTCCGGTGCGTGTTAAGCAAATGAAACTGGAGGCTACTTGGCAAGTGCAGGGCAGCAGAATAGCGGGTCAGCTCCAGGGGAGAGCGAGCTTTCGCATGAATTTTGAGATCATTAAGAGGCTATTACCAGCGGAGGTTTTATCAGCAGTGGGATTTTCTCCAATTTGAGCCAGCGCTGGCCAGCCTGAGCTATCTGCTCTGCTGCAGATCCCCATGGAGACAAAGAGAACGGCTCTGGAGCACGGCTTTATTTCCACGTCAGAGCATACAGGCCCGTGCAGTGTGGAAGAGACAAGCTTGGTTTCAAACATGTCTGTGCCAGTGCTCAAGCAGCAACGCTGAGGTTGCCCAAGTTGTCAGCCTCGGCTGATATTGCCCCAAAAAGGCAATTAATTGTACTGTGGCTTCCAGCCGTACCACTCCTATGTCCACCTTTTAGAGTATTTGCTTAATTTTGCCACCTTATGTGCTTGGGAGTCTTTCAAAACAAGAAAAATAATTCAAATATAAATGCCACAAAAGAGGGTTTTAAAATATAATTCTGTGAGCGTAGGTACAGAGTTCCAGACGTACTTACTGACAGAATAATACACGCTTCCCCTTGCCTCCACGGGACTATCTACGACAGAAACTGTTCATAAAAGTGGAAATTGTCACAACTACTCCAGGCAGCAGATCTTGTCAGCAATCACTATTTCTGTGCCTTCCTGAACGTCATTCAGGTAAGGACATGGATCCTCCGCACTTACGCAGACAGTTCTTTGTCCTGCTGAGCTAAAGAAGTGTGTGTCTCTTCCAGGCTGCAGATGTTAGAGCGACAGGTGGTGGGAGGAGAACAAGCGGAAAACAAGGACCTCAAAGAAAAGCGTAAACGCCGGAAAAAATACGCGGACGAGCGGAGGATGCAGCTGGCGGCGGCGCTGCAGCAATCTAACGAGGACAGCAGTGACTGGGTTCTGCTCCACGTCTACGACTCCATCCAGGAGGAGGTTCGAGCCAAGAGCAAGCTTCTGGAGAAGATGCAGAAGAAGGTGAGCAGCTCCCTCTGATCCTCGCTGAAGATTTAGGGAACATCTCTTTCCTCCTTTTTTTTCAGTTAAGGAGGCGTTTTAGGACAGTATGTTTGGAGAATGACTCCAGCTGTGTGAAATATTTCATACCTGTGCCAGCATTCACATCTATAAGGTTGTTTGCACGTATTTATGTGAAATATCGGATGCAGCAGCCCTCCCAGTGGTGAATTAAATTGGGGAAACCCCAAACTCCCCATTTTCAAGGCAGGTCTGTCCATTGTGCAGGATCACGGCGGGTGACGGGAGAGGATGTGACTCCCTCTGCTGCCCTGCGCCACCATTGCACAGCTTCCTCTACTTCCCATCACCCCAGATACCACACCGGGATCTTGGAAGAAATTACACCGTGAAAAGTTTTCTGGGGATAAAAAAAAAAAAAAAGCAATACTCTTAAATTTGAGGCACACTTGAAAATCAGTTTTGCTTTGATGAGAAAGAATCAGAGGAGCTTCAAAAAAATCTGTGGGTGTGTACAGTCCTAAATCTGCACGTTAAGAACTTGCTTTATTTCTGTATTTAGGTTAACAAAGAAATGTTGCAACTTTTTCATCCATGTTAGCACCAGGCACAGACCACACTAGTACGATGAATTTAAGATCCATTCAAAGACTCAGCACTTTGGAAGAAACGTGAGAAATCTTTCATTAAAACAGACGTGGAATAATCTCTCCACACAAATCTCATCTTAATTCTTAATTAGAAATTCTCCCAAATGCTGAAGCTTTGGTGTCTGTCTTTCCATCCTTGTACTCACAGTAACCATCGGTCTTTCTCCTTTATAATCCCAACAACCTGTTTTGGTTTTATATCCCAGCTGCGAGCTGCCGAGACCGAGATCAAAGATCTGCAGTCGGAGTTTGAGCTGGAAAAGATCGATTATCTCAGCACCATCCGCCGCCTGGAGCGAGACCTGCTGCTCTCCCAGCAGCTGCTGGATCAGGTGCAGTCCCTCGTCCGCCGCGACTGTAACTACAGCAATCTGGAGAAGATCAAGCACGAATCCATCTGGGATGAGGAAACCGGTCGCTGGAAAATTCCAGAGCCCGTCATTCAAAAAACCCACCTGCCCACAGGTAAGAGGAGTGTTGGGATGGTGCTGCCGGCGCCCGGCTGCTTCCGGGCTGGGCAGATCGCGTCTGGACACCGCTCACGTGTAAAACCTTCCGCGTAGAGAAAGTTTGAATAATAACATAATCGAACACGAAGCGCGGTACGGATCCTTCAGGAATCTCTGTGACCGGCGTGGTGCTGGGGATGGGGGAAGGCTGTCAGGAGACCATTAATTGTTTTGATGACCCCTTAACGGCGTCTCTTCTCCCACCAGTTCCAGCACTGCCACAGCCCACACCTGCCCCAAAGAGCTCTTCAGCCGAGAGCAGGGAGCTGACGGTACGCTGCGGTCCTCCTCCCTTTTTATCCTCTTTCACCAATTTTACCCCATTCCTGAGCCATAACCCAAGGGCTAGCACAGAGTCCGGTGCTGCTGACGCCCA